TTTTTACTATTCACTTTTTACTATTCACTTTTTACTATTCACAATTTACTATTCACTATTTTTTTTTATTAATAATTTTTTTTTTTAATTTTTTTTTTTATCTAGTATCTAACTTACAAATATTTTCAAGGATCTTACAAATAAACTCGATAATCACTTTGAACAAAGATGACGAATATAAAGACCAAAATAAGTATTATGCCTAAAAACTTTATTTCCAACTAAAGTTGGAAACTTTAGGATGTGAGAAATTTACCAATTGAAGTCAATTGTGCATTGCTGATGAAAATCATAGACAATGAATATTTGAGATGGCATTGGGTGTTGGCTTCGAGAGCCAAAGTTAAAGAGCTTTTGGTGATTTGGTCGTTGGGCGCAAAGGATCATCATTGGTACTACTTTTACAATGAGTTTCAGAGGTCCCTAGCTTTAGGTGCTCTTTGCTTAAATTGGGCACTCATGTTCCACTAAACTCCAAGAGTCCTCCTACCAAGGGTCCCATCACTAGGCAAGGGTGGAGCATCGATGGACGCCCACTTGACAATGAGCCCTTATTTTACAAGTGTTGGACGCCTTCTCCAAATCACTTGGCACCACTCCTCTTTTATGTGTTGTTGTGTATATTTGTGGTATTTCATGAAGTTTTACTGGTTGTTCTTGAACATGGATATTTTAGATGAAATTATTATAAATCAAGGTAGTATAGGGTGTATTGGTGTTAAGTGCAAAGGTGCGATTTTTTTTATTCTACTAGTAATTTGAGTCAAATAAACAAGAATTTATGGTGGTGAGAATCGAAGAAAGTTGTTATCAAGAGTAATGATGTTAATCACGTTCAGTAGAGATATTGAATTTTCCCTGACTCAATGAATTGGGAAAGTTGTCTATACTATAACTCTTGAGAGGAGTAGACACGTGCAAAATCTTATAGCGTTAACCAATATATCGATGCTTCAAAGGTTGAGTCTTTTGAATGATTTTATATGTTGTATAGGATAAATTTTGGATATATTGTATTCTAGACTATATTATTGAAAATCAAATTATATGAATATTCTTTTTTATTTAAAACTTATAAGTTTTATTTGGCTTACCTTGGGTTTTATTGAAGAAGGACAATGTTGAGATTACGTGGAAATGCTAAAATATAAAAGCATGTTGTGATGTAAAAAGTAAAGGGGGACTGTACCTAATATCCTTGATATTTTGTAATTTCTAATGGTAGTAATTTTGAACAGCTACATATGACTTCCTGGATAAAGATCAAAAAAACTAAAAGAAAAAGAAAAGAGTAATTTTTAGTGCCTTGATCTTAAGCAACATTGTACAGTAAATTCCTTCTTTCACGATAAGCAAAAAGAATTTGCAACTATATACAAAATTGCATTTTGTGGAGAGAATTGTGCAAAAATAACCATCTTTAGAATTTATTGTTCTCAATAATTGAATGAATAACAAATTAAAAAAAAAAATAGTGACATTTCATTTCATTGCACAATTCAGAGAAATATCATGACTATGCACAAAAGAATTTGCAACTATATATTGAGTTGCCAATGTACAAAATTGAATATTGTGGAGTGAAAGAATTATGGAAAATGAAAGCATTATTTCACTTCATATGACAAAATGGCCATTGGAAGCTTAGTTGAGATAGGAGGAGCAGGGATTCATGTCATTCCATGACAACAAGCATTTCATCTTCTTAGGTTGATGTTGGGGTATGTGAATCTTGGGTTCTCTAGGTATTGTTGGATGCTTCATTGACCTTTCATGCATAAAGAATCATAATGAGAAAAAAATGAAGTGACACATTTTACAGAAAACATGTTCTACCAGCATAAAGAATCATAGTGAAAAAAAAAAATGAAGTGACAGAAAACATGTTCTAACTGTCATACCTCCTTGGAACAAAAGGTCTATCAAAATAAGGCATTGGTTGAGCCTTTGGAACTAGTTCCTTCCTCAACCTCTTTATTTCTTCTTCTTCTGCCATCTATACACATGGGAATGAAGTATTTTAGATGATGGAAGAAAACATGGTAACTTGGTGCATGTCTTTTATCATGAAAACATGTTTTAGAAAGATGATAGACAGTGTTACCTTCTGTTGTCTTTCCCTTTCCAGCTTCAGTTGTTCTATGAAGTTAAATTTTTCTACCACCTACAATCAAACAAATGATTCATTTTTGGTTGCGTTTTCAACAATCATCCATTTTTTTCTCAAACGAAAGAGTTGAGTGGCTCAAACTGAACTTGGCAGTTAAAATCATGCATGAAGTAGTGGCTTCTACAACCACAGAAAATTACACTTTATAATGCACATACCTAAAGAAACTACCTAGTAATAACAATAAAGTAAAAGAAAAAAAAATGGATGAAAGAGGCACCTGTTGGTCAAATTCAGCACGATCAATTGCCCGAATATCACTATGGAGCTTTAGGTCAATAGGCCTTGTTATCTCTTTAACTATAGGTTTTAACAAGCACTGCGAAAAATGGCACCAACGGAGTGGCGTTAAGCTCAGAAATCCATTAATATGACAAGCATTGTAATGAGAGGAATCGAAGGTAAATATGACATTAAGCTAAGTAATGAATTACAACTGGCAAGTAAATATAGCACGGTAACAAGTGACCAAAATAGTGACACTTTAAGCCAATTAATTCATCACAACTACCAAGAAAGCATGACTAGCACAGTGACACCAGAAGAATGACATTAAAAGCTATATATTCCACTACCAATTAACAAGGAAACATGACAAGCTCTGTACGCAAGTGACATCATAAGAGTGATACTGAGCTCATCAATTCATTACAATTAGCAAGTACACATGAATATCACTGTAATAAGAATCACAACCACCCAAACAAAGGACTTCAATGAAAAGATCACCTCACCTCAGGTTCATCTGTTGTCCAAGGAAGACCTTGTGCAATTGGTATCCTCATTTTTTCTTCTTCAGCCATCATCTTTTGTTCTTTCTTAATCAATTCTTCCTCTTTCACCTTACCCCTTTGCTACAGTATCATTGCATCACAAATGTTACTCTCCAAACTCCAGAGTTATTAAAAAGATGAAAACAAAAAAGAAAAAACATTATAATAAATCAAATCAATCACCACAAAAATGTTACCTCTGTTCTTAGCTTAAATGGTTTTTGCTTAGTAACTTTTTGCTTTTCCTTCCTCTTCAACTTACTCCCTCCAAAAGTACCACATGAATCCAAACTCTACAAAAATAGAATCATTAAAATTCAAAAATTGAATTAGTGAGCAATTTAACATTCTTCAATTAATCATATAATAAAAACAGCTTCTGAAGTCTTACATTTCTCCGGCTCCTTCTATCCCCAGTAGACACACTGCAACACCACAAAATGCACAATAATGCACAAATCAACAAAAAACATCACAATAGCAAATGACACAAATGAAGAAAAGTTATTTGAAACCTTAATCTAAGGACAAAACTTAGGTACAGTTCCTTAAATGTGTTTATTGCAGTTCTACAATCAGAATTAAAGCAAATTTTTATAATGATGGTTAACAAAGTGAAACTCTAATTTTGACAGGATAATTTTTGTCCCTAAGCTAACCACAAATCCATGCACCAGAAGACACTCAAAACTACATCTAAGTTTTACCCTTAATCTAATCAAGTAGAGCCAAAAGTCAAACCTTGCAAAGCTATTATCCCATGAGGAAGAAACTGAAATCCCTTGATCCAAGCCAAGGTTCTCGGACGTCAAAACCAAATCAGAAGTACAATGAAACGAAGAAGAATCAGAAACAGATGCATCGGCCGCTGCAACTGTCTTATGATGTTCTTCGAATTGTAACAGAGGCAAAGACCAATTCATCATTTTGCCCTTATTATCTTTCCTTTCATGATGATCATCCTCCTTGTGATTGTTTTCCTCCGAACCTTTGGGTTCAGTGAGAAGCTTCTCAAAGGCTTTAACCAAATGCATAACTTTCCCAAACCCATCTTTAGCAACACTCGTACTCTTCCCCCCTTCTTCCAATAACCTACCCCTCTCCCTCCTTCGTTTATTGAATCCCTCGTCTTCTTTTTCTTTATCTTCTACTGCTTCACTTTTTCTTCCCTCAATTTCAATTGCATTCACACTCTCACACTCTGTTTTTGCTTCTTCTTCAACATCTTCATCAACATCATCACAAAACTTATTCTCTTTGAGGAAAAACTCTTCTTGAGAAGCCCTAAGGGTCTGATACGCCACGCAAACGCACTTCGCGCCACCTTTATGTTTGCACTTGCACAGCACGCTGTCGTTTCGAAGACCCTTTTGATTCTTCTTCTTAGCCACCACGAACTTCCTCTGCCGGATCCTGTTCTGCGGGGATTGTACAATTGGGTTGGTGGTGTTTGATTTGGAGGATCTCAAAGCAGGGGACTTTGAAGAAGGGCTTCGAAGGTGAGAAACATTAGGGTTCGCATTCTCTGAGTTTCTTGTAGGTTTCTTTGAAGGTGTGGTGAATGTTTTTGATTGGTGGGTGGTGTTGGTGGGTTGTTCCATTTGGAATCAAAATTGGGTTTGAGAATAGAAAGTAAAGAAGAGGAAAAATGGTGACAGAAACTGAAACAGAGTGAAAATTGTTAGTGCAGAAAGGAATACAGAAAGGAAAGAAGGATTTTCATTGTAACGGCTAGTTTTGGTATGTGATTTGACATTTTTGTTTCCGTTAAGGGTTTTGACCGTTGTATGTGTTATTACCTTCAGTTCATTGCTCAGACTTCATTTATTTTTCTTCTTTTTGATAGGTTGAAGATTATTAACATTTATTTTTGCTATTCATGACACGAGATTTTGTTTTTTTTTTTTATTAATTTAAGATTTTATATTTTAAAAAATTCCATAATTTTAACATTTTTTTATTATTTTGGGCATATATTTTTATTTTCGTTTTAATTATCCAAATTATCTCTAAATAATACCTTATACTAAATATTAGGTTTAGAGTTTAATTGGATCAAAATAAAATAAATATAAGTATAATTGAAGATTCATTTGAAATTAACTAAAAATGAGGACTAAATCGAAAAATAAAATCTGAGATGAAATCACATATAAAAAAAAAAAAGAAATCACCAACACACATATATGTATTTTACATAATAGTGTAAAAATTTACATAAATGGTTTTTTTTTTTCAGGAAATGAGTTATTACTGTTGTGAGTTTTATGTTGAAAGATGTTTTCTCTTCATGTGATAATGTTCTTCTTATGTTGTGTTTTTTCTTTTAAGAATAAAATAAATATCTTTTTAAAGTAACTTTTATGAGTCACTCTTAAATATGATTTATTTGGTCAGATATTCTTTATTTTGATATCTTTGATTTTAATAAAGAGAGACAGTAAGGAAGAAATAAGGAATATAATTAATATTTGACATAAATGAATTTACACCGGCTTTAAAAAATAGATAAATAATTTTCTTCACATTTAATAAAAAAAATTCCTTTTAAGAGTATACAAATCGAATAAATGTAAAATTAATGATAAACCCTTTATAGTAAAAACAATGTCAAGTAATTGATATAAATGGAGCCTAATATAATAATATAGACTTGAATATATTTACTAGGTTTTTTTAAAACATAATTTAGGTTATTAACATTTTAATTAAATACGTGCAGGTATATTTAATTTGATTCTGTAGAGTAGAAAATGTGAATAAATTAAAACTAATTTTAAATTTCCAGGTAAAAAAAATAAAAAGGAATGCAATATGAATTGACTAAATGCAGGTTTAAAAAAATTACCTGGACTTTCAGAAAATTAATTAACATTTTAACAAAATATATACATATATTTGTTTGATACGATTTTGAAGAGTTGAAATTCTGAATTAACTAAAATTAATTTTAAAATTTTCAGGGTGAAATTATGAGCTAACAAACTTGGTAGAAAAAGAAAGTTTATTTAATTGAGTCATTGAGCTTAAATATTTTTTTAGTAAAAAATGAAAGCAAATTCAAATAAATAAAAAATGAGTATAATGAAGATAAAGAACAACAAATGGATCAAAGATGTAGTTCATGTTGAATTTTAGTTTATTCTTAAAAAATATTACTCGTTTTCATAATTAGTTAAGAAAATTAAAAATGTGATGAGAAAAATTAAAAATCTCGTTAATTTATCTAGAAATAAGTCATCCCAATGAAAGAGAAAAAAATAAGCCGGAAAAAATTATTCATCTTAATAACAGTAATTTTAAAAACTGAAATATAAAATTAATGTTAATTTTAAAAATGTTATCCTATATGTGCGGAGTTGGTAAGACACTAATCTACATCCCTAGTTTCTGCCTAAAAAGTTAAAACTTAAATTGATTTTAATTCAAAATTGGGAATGCCAATTATATTTGAAACTGAAAGATTATACAACTATTCAAGTTGAGTGATAATTTATACTTTTTAATTATCTAATAAAAAATTATTATATAATAAATTTTTTATTGATTTGGTTTAGCTTAAACTTTGATAATGGAAAGTAATTTAGTAGTTTAAAGTTGATTTTATGAGGTCACTTTGTTTATTATTGTTCATGTGAAATATAGTCTTGGATTAATGTAGAAATCCTAGTATTTCCTCTTATTGAAACATGCCACAACTAAAAAAAGTCACTCATTTATTTCTTGAATGCGATTAGATCCAAAGTTGAAAAAGGTTGAATTATGTGAGTAACTATTTCTTTCATATGATTGATTTTTAAATGGAATTTACAATCCTTCACCATTACATCCAAAAAATGTCAACCCTTTTAATTATTAATTTTTGTGGTAAGATGACCCATAATCTATTTAGCATTTAAGTTATGTTTAGATTTTAATTAGAAGCCATCTTCCAATTCCATTAAGCATTATTTCAGACTTTCTTTCTTCAGAACTACTTAAAAACAAAATTCACTCAAACATTAGTTTACTTAAAAGTTACAATGAATTGTTATTTTTGTAGTTCCAAATTAGTTTAACACAAGTTAATTTCTAACCACATTAAATTCAAAAGGCATGAGTCCTTTCCTAATTCAAGTTTGTGAGAGTGTTTGTAAAAAAAAAATTGTTCTAATAATAACAATCACAAAAGGATTGTGTGTTATGATAAGGCCTTGTTCACTTGAGTGGATTTGAGGAAGAGTAATTGAGGGGATTTGAGAGGATTTGAAAATAAATTTTTTTGTTGTTTATTTGAGTCAATTTGGAGGTAAGTGAGAATGAATTTGGAAGTAAAGATTGTGACAATTAGTGTAGGATTAGATTGACGTGACAGATTAAAAAAATTTACTTCCAAATCCAATCTCATTTACCTCCAAATTCATTCAAATAATCAACAAAAAAAATTATTTTCAAATCCTCTCAAATCCCCTCAATTACTCTCCCTCAAATCCACTCAAGTGAACAAGGCCTAATTGATTAGAATGAATATTATTCTAAGATAGAGGTGAATATTTGTCGTATAGCGAAATAGGAAAGAATCCAATAAAAAATACACCAACAAATGTTATGGTAGGAGCAACACTAGAGGGAAATACCACAGCTACATCACTAATATTTGAGTAAACTATGTAACAATATTATTGAATTTATTCAATCTAAAGGTCAATATTCCATTTTTTTTTAAAGACATATGGGTAATATAAGCTTCAAAGATGTAGTTTATGCTGGTGTGTATATATATATATATATATATATATATATATATATAAATTAATTTTGCAAAAATTTAAATTTGAATAGTAAAATAAAAAATATTAAACTGGGAAATTTTATGATGAAAACTTGCTTCTTTTTATTATATTGAGTCAAGCTAATAAAATGTAATAGTAAAGGAACCAAATTGAGAATAGAAAAGTGATAATAGAGGGATGAAAAAGAAATTGAAGAATAACAATAATGAAATGAGATGAGAAAGACAAAGATGGAAATTTAAGCTTATCATAAATGAAATATGTAAAAGAAAGAAATTAGTATCTATGATTAATAGTTAACAATTCATATAACCATTATGTGTACTTTGTGAGAGCTTATTAGAACTTATAAGATGTCCTAACTAATGAGACTTGCTTATTTTAATATTAAAAGTTTAAATATATAAATAAAATTTTAATTGATGAATTTCATTATCTAGAAGAATATTATCTCTTTAAAAATTTTTTTCTAAGGACTCTTTACCATCTCTTTAAGCTTGTTCATCTATTTGAAGATTAAGGAGTGTCTAAGTGATCATTGAGGAAATGTCCTCAAGTTTAAGTGATCATTGAGGAAATGTCCTCAAGTTTATCCAATCAGTTCTTACAAAAGAGTAAGTCAGTTTATCTTTTTCTCTAGTTTGTGTGTTTTCTCATGAATGTAAGTATTGTTCTATCACATGTCCCATTCGAGTCTTCTATATGATTATATGTTGATCAGTAGTGCTAATAATATATCTTATCATGATTTTATGGTTTGTAGGAGTAGATAGAGTTCCTTAAGCTAAGAGAGTCATTCTAGGTTCCATAGATCAGTTTGAGCTTCTAAAAGGTAAAAGAAATTAAATACCATTATTTTCAAGTTTTAATGTGATTAGAATTGTGCGTGCATGTTTGATGGTTTGTGATTGACTTATATTATGGATTTTAGTTGATGGAATCATTGTTGAAAACTATTTTGAGTTTTATGATGGTGTGTTGTTTGACAAGTTTGAATTGGTCTATAATTGATCATCTATTATAGGGATTCTATGTTGGGACGATTGAAAGTGTGCATGTATTTGTTTGTATGAATTGGATGAAATTGAAGTCGTGGTTAGTTGAAAATTATGCTCAAATCTTGTTTGAGAAATATGATTGTGTGATATTGGAATTGATTGATTTGAGATTGAACTAATGGAATGAGTATCTGATGAGATGAGAAAATTGGTATTCACTTTGACACTAAAACACATATTTGTATAAATCACTGAGTTAGAAATATCAATTTGGTTATTTAATTTGGTACATAGTTCATTAGGTCACAGTTTGAGAAGTTGCAGGTTCTTGGTATCGTGCTCAATGCTTGTTTTCACTGTTGAATGACCAAAATGTGAATGGTCTGGCACTGAACGGTGACATAGCATCGTCGAGTGCTAGTTACCATTGTAGGTCTAGAGCTATTTTCTATCTTTTGGTGCTGAGAGCTCTCTTTTGTGAGGTCTTGTGCGCTAAGCATCAATTTGAGCGTCAATATACTATTATGTGATTTTTTTATATTTGTTGATCTAAATTGGTTTCTATGGATGTTATGTATGTTTAGTGTGAAACTTGCAATGCCTTATGAGTTATATTATGACTGTATGTATATATGTATCAAGTATGATGTGAAAATAATTTCAAGGATAAATTCTTGTATGGTTTTAAGTTTTGCATGTATTGATGTAAGGATTTAGTATTGGAGGTAATCCTTACGCTTTAATAACTATCCAATCTCAAGTAAAGAAGGATGATGCATGTGGTGAAAGGAGCAAGAGGTTTTAGTTTAGGGACTTTACCTTTGCCTAAGGCGTTAACGAACTAATCTTTTGTGTGTTAGGATGAAACTTATTGGCAATGACTCTACACAGCAGTAAAGGTCACCATAAGTGCATAACTCGCTAGAGTTTGACATCAATACA